AAGAATGTTTACAGATCTCAATTAACCGATGAGCATCTTAAATCTCTTTTGATAATTGGTACAAGTAAAATTGATCCACAACTACAAAGTATTGTCGGTGGAAAATCACAATTACATAAATCTCATTAGTGTTTTTGTTTTACTGTGATTCATTTCAATTATTTGTTAGTTATTAATATGCTTAAACTCAGATACTTAAGTTGAGTTTTCTTTGTCATCATTTCTGTCGTTAAGTTTTACCTTGCAATTAAATAAAACCGAGTAATTATCATTCTGTGTTTTCTTCTTCAACTTATCACAACAATAGTAACAACAATTAGGTAATCATCGGCTGTCGCGGGCCAGATTGATGACAGTAAATCATTGGCTGTCGCGGGCCGGATTGATTACACTGGCGGGCCGGATTTGGCCCGCGGGCCGTAGTTTGGAGACCCCTGGTATAGTGAAATGTGAAATGAAGAGTTATTGTGGTTATATGAATACGTTCTTAGGTATAGTCTCAGTTATTATTTAGTTCGATATTGTAAACCTGCTATATAGTGACAGTGGCTTTCAAAAGTACAAAGAGCAGAAAAAAGTTGATAACTCCGGAATTCAGAAAATTTTAATTAATTCCGGAGATATTGAAAATACCGACGTTTAATTTCCATATAACGTTATTGGTGGATATTTCAGAAAATAAAAACACTTCCATGGATCGAAAAAAATCATCAACTATAAGTTTGTTGATAATGATAGGAATTTCTTAGGTTTTAAAACATCATTTGAAAAGCTCTAAATTGGTAGGATTTTTACTAATTTAATCGATTTTGTATCTCTTAAGCGGATTTGTACCAAAAGGATTCGCTAGCGACTAGTCTCGTTTTCGAAAACAGAAACATATTAGTTTCAGAAACAAATTAGTTCCACCAAACAGACAAAAACTAGTCTGAGTCGCGTGTTTTGTTGTGCCTTTTCTACTACACGAACAGTTTTCATTATGGCTTTTCTGGTTTTTTAATGGCCTGTTGTTTTTTTAATCATGTTTTATTGTCCAAAAGATTCTCACTGACAAAGCTAGTGAAACTTTATGTAGTCAATAATGTTGAAGTTTTTAAAAAATATTAAAATTATGATATTCAATGAACAATCATTATAGGGTTAAAAAAGGTACATATATAAATACACATAAATAAAACAATATATAAACCATTATAGATAATAAATAAATAAATTATTACAGATATGTAAGCATTTGAGATACTATNGAATTGTTTCATCACTATGATAATTTTGGACAATATTCAATGATAGGTGTGTTCAATGAATTTCATCTTCTTCGACTGCAATTGGAAAATACTCACCCTAATAAAATTTTGAGATGTTGTGTGCAGTGGGTGAGCTGCCTGTACAGCTCACGTTCTAAAATGGGGTTATGTTTGTCGTGAAGAATTGTATAATTCTGTGGCAAATTGACAGCCATCAAACTTCTTGCTCTGATGGTTTTGAAGATATCGCAAATTATCAATAGTTGAGTTTTCAAACAATTCAAAAGCCCAAAAAATACTCCATCGTGACCTGAAAATTGAAGGTTTTTGTAAAAGTATTTGCATTTCTTATAGAAGAATAAACTTAAACCTTTGTAATCAATTTTATTGGAGTTTTTTCCCAACAGCAAACCGTCATTTTAACACTTCGACACATGTTTCGATCACCAAGTGATCATCTTCAAGAAGTAGATTAAACTATTACGAATAAAGTTTGTTCTTCGTCTTGAAGATGATTACTTGGTGATCGAAACACGTGTCGAGGTATAAAAATCATTTGTCCGCTAGAACATTGTCTTCCATCTCGGAATTAAAATATTGAAATTCAAATGCCTAGATGTAATGAGACTCTTGCACAACATAGTTTAGCTTATTTGGGTCCTAAATTATATAATATCTCACCTAGAGATCTACAATTATTGAAATCACATTTAAACAAAAAAGCTGTTAAACATAAAATATTCAAAACGGATAGAAGGATCTTCAGCAAAATTATAAAGAATAAAATAATATAAATGATAAAATTGAAGAATAATAAATGTAACTGAATTTTTAGTACTACATTTGGACTACATTTGAAATTTCAGCACTAGGATGATATGACTTACCTGAACATGGCAACTAACTGATTGTGGAATTGAAAAAAACACTCAGACTCGATGAGTGTAAAATAAAGATTATACACTTATTGTGTGTATTATGAGTGTATAATGAAAATTATATACTCCTTCAGCGAGAGCAACTTTTTTTTTAGAATATTTTTTGTAATTTAAGACTGAGAGAAAAACAGTGACATCAAAGAATTAAATGCAAAGAATGTATTAGAATCTTAGCCTACGCAAAGTATAATGACCACTACAAACCTTCATATAAATTTTAGAATTATGACATTCGTTTGTTGCTACATATTGTTCATGCTATATGGAAAAATTTATTGACAATCTCGCAAAGAGACATACATGACTTATAGTAGAGGAGCCCAAGAGGGGAGGATACCTTTAATCCTGTTGAAACCCACCACCATATATGAACCCTCCATTGAGAGCCGGGCAAGTAGGGCAGCCCGTATTAATAATTAATACGCTTACTTGTCACTGCAAATTTTGGATAACAGGGATGTTCTCTCGCCAAAAGACCACGAGCGAAGTCAAGACAAGAGAAAAATTATCTCTCGGCTTGTTGAGATACGGCAACACAAGAGGTGAATCTGATTTTTTCAGGTGTCTAATATAGCTTGATACTTTCAACAGACCATTTGGAATCAATCTATAGGTCGTCGAAAT